GGTTTAGGGTTTTAGGGTTTTAGGGTTCGCTTTGAGCTTGTGGGATGGGGAGTTAGTAGTAGAGCGTCTAGGGCTTCTTGGTGCCTTCGGCCCTCAAAACCCCGAAACATCCTCCTGAGCGTCCCTCAATTCCTTCAGACCCGATGAAAACCCTAGAGCTCCAAAAGCAAAAACCTTAAGTTTAGGGTTTAAGGCTTCGGGCCCGGGGCTTGGGGTGTAGGGTTTAGGCCCCCTAGATCAGCCCGCGTGAAATAGCACCCCTTACAATCCTGACTACTAAAACGCAGCGGGTGCTTGCCTGCTCGTTGTTCCCGCAAACGACTGGGCAGGGGCTCGTCTTCGATTGGCACCAGCTGTAGCCTGGCATCAAGGGTTTAGGGTTTAGGGCTTAGGGTTTAGGGTTTAGGGTTTAGGGTTCAGGGTTCAGGGTTCAGGGTTCAGGGTTCAGGGTTCAGGGTTCAGGGTTCAGGGTTCAGGGTTCAGGGTTCAGGGTTTAGGGTTTAGGGTTTAGGGTTTAGTGTTTAGGGTTTAGGGTCTAGGGATTGTCAGGGTTCAGGGTTTACAGACTTTAGGGCTCAGGGGCTTGTAAAGTCTTGGGGTCTTGGGGTCTTGAAAATTTTGGGCTTAGCGTTAGGCATTAGCATTTTCGAAGACCGACAGCACGACTCAAGTGTACTGAGGCTGTGAGACTTCGAGATAGTACCCTTCAAGCCCCCAACCCAAAAGCAAGCAATAAAAACACTGCCGGCTTTGACGGAGGCTCTGCCATGTCACAAGCACGAAGCTACCGCCCTCTTACACCCTAAACCCGAAACACCCTAAACCCTAAACCCCCTAAAAGAACCGCAGATCGCATAAAAGCCGCTAGATAAACCCTAAACCCCAAAACCCAGATCTGCCTCCTGTGAGGCGTCCCAACCAGAGACGTCAAGAGAGCACCAGAGAGCTTTGTCAAGAACCTCACCTACCCGGTGCTCGACAGTCAGACTTTCCAGGTTCTTCCGCAGCACCTTGTCAGCGGCGCGATGATCGCTGCTGCCCCCAGCAGGTCTTGGAGGGGCCTGTGCCCAACGATGTTCCAGCCTGCCTTCGAGAGTTGGAAACTCCACCGAACGAGCTTTGTCACTTTGGCTATCACTGCGAAGTCCGGCTCTGTTGCCGGTCGCGAAGACCTCGGTGGGTGTTCTGTGCGCCTCTGCACGTGCACTTGCTGCGGCGTAGGGAAGGGCAGGTCTTACCGCTCAAGCAGCACCCAAAAAAGCCCTCTTGCGTTTGGGGTTGAGGTTTTACGGCTTAGGGTTTGGGTGCAAAGCACCTCAACCCAAAACATAAAGCCCCTACAAACTCTAGCCACAGGCTTGCTCACAAAAGAGCTTATGTATTAATATATGTATTTAGGTATTTATGCTTGTACCTTAAAAAAAGTTTGCAAATAAAAGATACGTATACGTGTGTATGTAGAAGTACAACTAGTGCAAGAGCACGTCGGGCCCGTGCGCCAGTGACCCCTCATCACATGGTTTAGTCCTATGCAGAGGCCCTGCACCCCCAAACCGTACACCCTAAACCCTAAAGTAGGGCCCCAAAAAAGCACATAAGCAAAAATTAGGGTAGGGATATCCCATATAAACCCCCTTAGAATGAAGCCCTATAAGGTAGGGATATCCCTATAAAATGCTTATGCTTGTGTCCTTTTTGGGGCCCTAATAAAGCGCACAAACCCTAGGTCCCATAAACGCTCAAATGCCCACATGCCAGCGAGCACCCCACTGATCCGCGCACTTGTTCTCGAACCTGGGGTGCGGCGCTTTGGGTTGCAATTGGATTTGGGGGCTTTTCGGGGTTTAGGGCTGCTGTGTCTCTTCTTTTTTTGTTGACCTGTTTTGGGGGGTGTTTGGGGCGTTTGGCGAGTTTGAACCTTCATGACATAATCCTCAGTATCCTGAGAACTTTGAAACGACTTCGGAGACAGAGCGTAAATCGGAGGGCAGAGGGGGGGGGTGAACCATAAACAACCCAAGCCTCAAAGCCCCCAAACCCCAAACAATCGATCATCGGAAAGCTCTCCCCTGCCCTATTTTTACTATCAAGGCTTGGAAGCTCAGAATTGTACTAAACCCTAAACTTGGGATGTTCCCCGTTGTACTAACAGTCTTGAATGGAGATTATCATAGGGGGTACTATCATCCCCATTCAGGACTGTTTGTATAAGGGGGTGAACATCCCAACCCCAAACCCTAAACCCAGCTAGAAACCAGCAAGCTCACAAACCCGGAGTTGGAGGCTAGAGCCCCGTGCCCACATTTTTTTTGGCTGGTTCTTAGTAGGGAAGGAGGGAACGAGGGCCCTATACATACATACCCTTTAAAGGATCATATTAGGGCGTATGTATAGGGCCCTCATTCCCTCATTCCCTTTTTAAGAACCAGCCAGCTTTTTGGGCCACGGTGCTGAGCGTCGCAGGGGCAGCCCGTGGCCATCGGTGCGCAGAACTCCTGGTAGTCCTTGCATGGCGCGTACGATGTCGGAGTAGTTCAGGGCTCTTCTTAAAAAATGAGGGAACTAGGGGCCCGAAATCATTCCTTAAAGGGTATTTTTAGGGTAGCTCATTTCCTCATTCCCTAGTGAGAATCAGCCAGGGGTTCAGGATTCGGGGTTCAAGATTTAGGGACAAGTACGCAATGAACTTCGGTGCTGTTAGAACGGTTGATGACATGGGATGATCTTGGAACTGATCTACACAAAGTTTCTAGACAAAACAGTTCCAGAAGAAGTGCTTAAGGATAAGTTTCGTGATTGTTTTATGGAACACGGTGAAGCATCCAACATTATTGCACGGACTTGCGACATCGTAAACAGGCCAGAACCCAACATTTTTGAACAGAAGCTGTACAGCAGCGGTGGGAAAACAGCGAAAATCACGAGCTGAGCTTAATGACATGTATGCGTGCGAGAAATATCTTGATGCAAGATTGCCACATATGCCAACAAAGCAGTGGGAGAAGAAACAAAGCCACTGCCCAAGTGCTGTACAGCTACAGTCATGATCTGACTAACAACGCGATGTTTACAAATATCTCGATGTTTACTTCAACCGTGCTGGAGCTTATGTCGCAAGATGGTATAGCAGGCAGTATAGGGAGAAAAAAACCACTTGGTCGGGTGGCTGGAATCCGACCCCAGCAAAACACTAGACCTACAAAACCCTATGCACAGCTACTACATAACCCGACCCAACTCCCCACCACCAATGGGCCCAAACCTGGTCTACGAAGGCAACCCTGAACCCAAAAACATCGGTGGTTCAGAGAACCATGATCCTACCCAACACGGGAAGATGGCAAGGGCCTAACCCCCAAAAAAACCAACGCAAACCAACACTCGAACGTTAAATATCGTTTAGCCCTACCAAGAACCATGGTTGGCTTTCCAGCTGAGTCCATGAGAACCAGCAAGTTCTGAGTCCGCGGCGGAGTAGTTCTGATTCCCGAACCTGGGCTTTGAGGGCTTTGCGTGTTTGCTTTTATTGTGGGGGAAGGCGGAGGGTTCAGGGTTTAGGGCTTGGCGAGTTTGAACATGTATCTGAGAGATTTGAGCTCTGGCTTCATGTGTTGTGGAGTGGTGGAGGTTCATGGGCAGTCATAAGCAGGGATATGCATTCATGCGCAAACTTTGTTTGGGGGGGATGGTGACTACAAAGATACGCTGCCTCCAACCGTACTTATAGCTGCTAGCTATCAGCCATGAAGTCACGTAGAAGTAGGAGGTTTTTGGAAAGTTGACGGGGATTCAGCTGTTGACCATGCACTCTTCATCATCAGTGCTCGAAGCCGAAGAGAACCATCACAACAAACTCAAGACCCCAAACTAGGTTGGCCCTTCAAGTATGTCAAACCCTTAACCCAAGAAAAAGGAAATACAAACATCCCCACAAGCCTACCCAGCAAACCCGAAACCACGGATTGCCGTGGGCCGAGGCGCACTCTTTAGGGGTCAGAGTAGTAGTAGTAGTAGTAGTAGTAGTAGTAGTAGTAGTAGTAGTAGTAGTAGTAGTAGTAGTAGTAGTAGTAGTAGTAGTAGTAGTAGTAGTAGTCGTAGTAGTAGTAGTAGTAGTAGTAGTAGTAGTAGTAGTAGTAGTAGTAGTAGTAGTAGAAGTAGTAGTAGAGGACTTAGAGGGCTTAGAGGGCTTAGGGCCCAAACTTTGAGTGAATGTCACGTGCCGAGTCACCTGCCGGCTGGACGCTCGACTGGCTGCGGCGAGTTTTTGTTTGCGACTGCACGTTCTGTTCGCTGCAGCCAGTGGAAGTTGAAGCCCAAGCAGTTGCGAACTTTACGGAAAGCTGCAGGCGCCAAAAAGCCTGCAGCCAAGTTCAGTGGCAAAGGCAGGAGCTGCCGTGTCGTGTTGTCGGAGGCGATATCCGATTCACCGGTGCGCAGTTTTGCTAGGACACCACAAAAAACCCGCTGAGATGAATCATTGCTTTGGGCCGCATGGCTCCTCGCCAAGCTCTTTGCACTCGCCAGGCCGGAGAGTGCTGGAGGCGGTGTGAACTTACTGACTTGATCGCACCGGCCATGTCGGTTGCGATGCCTGCAGGTGTTTGAAACGCTGCCTGCTTTTGTCCGCCACGTGGAGCTTTCCGTGAAAGCTACAACATGTAGCATTCTTGCGCGCGGCTACTGTGTGGAGCAAGTGGATACTGCATCGACACCTACAGTGTTTTCATCCTCCCCCCCACCCCCTCCCCCCAACCAAATGCGTGCGCGATAATGTTGGACTCGCTTTAGTACGTAGGGGCCCCCCCCCCCCCCCC